AGCTAGGGTGTCTGTCTGCGGTCTACTTGCAGTGAAATCTTTAAATGTAGGGAGACCTTTAGTATACATAGTTGTTATATTCCAGCTTCCACTCCATTTGCAAAATATGATTGGATATACAACACTTAAATCTACCTAATAATAAGCCATATTGGGCCTCGCTGGTGGTTAAAACAGCGCTAACAAGCTATTGCCAGCCACTGCCACAGGAGTTTGATCCCAGGCCAGGGAGCTAACCCACAAATGGCACAGCAGACCTTTCCTGTCTCGCCCCCTGCTCCCCTCAGCAGTGTATTTCAGTAGATCTGCCTGTTCTGCTCCCCACTGTCTCTGGTGAATTCTCCCCCATGTCTCTGGCCTATACCCCAGCTCTTGTATGCATAAAATAAATAAATAAATCTTAAAAGAAAAGAAAGGTAGTGTGTGAGCAGAGGTGGCAGTATCCTTACAATTAGGGTGCTCTTTCTGACCTTAGTCCGTCTTCCCCACTAGCAGGGGAGGGGGGCGGCGATGGGAAGAAGCCCTTGACATTCCACAAGACCCTCCTTCCTTGGCTTTCTGTACCATTTCTACAAGTTGCTTTCTATTTTTTGCCCTCACAAGTGGTCACTTCTTTGTGTCTGTCCTCTGTGCTGTAGTTCATACAAACATGCTGCTCAAAGCTCTTCTGTCCCCCAGGTCTTTCAAAACTCTTACTATTTTGGAGGAATGATTTCAGAAGCAAGCTAATCTGCTTTCAGCAGAAAACCACAGAGATGAAAAATGACCAGTGAAAAGCTCAGGAGACTATGGACCCAGGAGCAAAAGATTCTTGGTTCAGATTCCAGTTCCACCAGGCAGTGCCTGTGCACTTTGGTCAAGTGCTTTGCAATGCTCCTGAATTCAATTTCTTTGTCTGCAAGGTGGGGATAATTATAATTCCTATAAAAGGTTGATTTGAGTTGCTTGAATGTTGCTTAGTAACTCATAGTACTAATAGCATAATGCTTAGTAATTATTTAGACTATTTAAGTTTAAAGCTAAGGACCATCAACAGTCTGGAAGAAAAAGTTTTTGATGAATGGTTTTCTGTACTAAAACCATGTAACAATGGGTGAAGTCTGCTATGGGTCTTTCTGTCCCTGATCCTGGGAATTTCACATCATCACTCTTCACATACTAGGAAGGACTAAGAGGACAGATCTTGCTAGGATCTTGAAACAATTCACTCCCCAAATATTTTATCACAAAAACAACAGAGGGCAAGAGAAATAATCCTCACGGAATACCTTTTATGTGCTAGTACCCATCATTTAAGGCTCACGACATCCTTATAGATTATATGGCATAATCTCTAATTTTGAGAGGTAGAAACTTCAGTCTAATAAGATTGAAATAAGTTGCCCAGAATGATAGCAGAGCCAGGTTGTCCCACCTCAAAGCCTAAATGCTAGTCTGTTACAACTCGATGCTCTTTTTTCTTTTACTCCAGCAAATGAATTCTCAGTTCTAGAATAGTGCTCTAGATAATGAAAGAAGGGTATGATGTAGCGGGCAGGAGACCTTGAATCACACATGCTTGACTAAAAACAAATGGAAAAAAAATGTTTGGGTTTCTGATTTGCCATTTCTTTCTAAACTAAAATACTGTTCAGAAGAAATATATCAGGAAGGGCTGCAGAACAACCACTGCTTTTCCATTATTCTCAGATTCAAGCCAATATTTGATAACAATACAATTGGCAAAATAAGTTGATGAAGTTAAAAAATAAGTTTAAGATGCCCCACAAAATGATTAAAATGAGTAAGATTATAAAGAAACACTTCATCGCAGTGAAGGAACTCATGACCAATTAATAATGAGTCATGGTTTCAAGCTTCTCTTAACAGATCCATCCATCCATTCATCCATCCATCCTGAATGAAGATCCACTATGTGCTAGGTACTATTCTAAGTGCTGGGATAAAGCAGTGCTTAAATAAGTGCATAAAAGGGCTGAGATCACAGTAATCTAATAAACAAATGAATAAAACCAGCTAATTTCAGGTACTGATAGGTACTCTGAATGCTATCACTGCTACAACATGAGGGTGTACTGCATCCTCATCTACTGACAGAACTGTGGATGTTAGGCTTATGGTGGGGGTACCACTTGATCTAGGGTGGTCGTAGAAGCCCTCTCCAAATACTTGGTGTTTGAGCTGAGGCCTGAGTGAGAGAGTCAAATCTTTACAAGCGGAAGAAATAACTCCCAGGCACAGAAAGTCTCCAGCAAGTCAAGCATCTTGTCTTAGTCCTTCAAGCTGTTATTATAAAGTACCAGAGATGGAGTGGCTGATAAACAACAGAAATTTATTTCTCATGGTTCTGCTGGAAGTCCAAGATCAGGATGCTAGCATGGTCAAGTTCTGCTGAGAGCCTTTTTCCGGTGGTAGATGGCTGACTTCCGGTATCTCACAGCGAGGGCAGCAGAGAGTAGTAAACTCTCTCCTGATTTTTTTCTTTTTACAGATTTATTTATTTATGCATACAGGAACTGGGGTACAGGCCAGAGTTGTGGCGGGGGCGCTGAGAGGACTCACCAGAGACAGAGGGGGGAACAGAACAGGCAGACTGACTGAAATACACTGCTGAGGGGAGCAGCAGGTGAGACAGGAGAGGTCTGCTCTGCCATGGGGCAGTTCTCTGGCCCGGGATGCTGCAGTGGCTGTGATAGCTTCATGATGCTGCATCTCTCCTGACTCTTACAAGGGTACTAATCCCAGGACCTCATCTCATCCTAAATACCTCCCCAACTCTCCACTTCCTAGTACCATTACCTACCGGGGTAAGGTTGCAATGTAAGATTTGCTTTTTGGGGGAGGCATAAACTTTCAGCTCAGAACAGATGCTGAAATCAGAGAGAAGACAGTGTGGCTGGATTCAGAGAAGTGGCTTGGGATGAGGCAGGCCACTTGGAGGACTCTGACAAGGAGTCTGAATTATAATACAGGTATAATGGAAATATATTGGCAATTTCTAATGACATGATTTGAATGAGCTTTCATCAGATGATTGCTTGAGAATTACTTACAAAGCCTGCAAGAGTGGAGGTGGGGGACTAGTTAGTTCGGGTAAGATTACAGAGGTGAAGGTTAAAACATCTCTCACAATAAATATCCTTAATAATAAGGAGGCTTCATTGGTGAAGGAGGCTGATTTTACCCTCATAATATCTGCATTTACATGAAACATCTCCACTATAAAATAAATCATTTTATTATTTTGTCAGATAGAGAGGATGGTGTGGCTGAGGATTAGCAATTATATATAACTCCACTTATCTTACTGTCGCTGGGAGGAAACAATACGCAAGGCTCTTGGTTTTCCCTAAAGGAGGGCCAATGTATTTAGGAAATTAATTCTTTCCTTCAGCCTAAGTGCTAAATGGCAGAAACCATTTGCTAAATACGTTCAGCCATTCTTAAGATCAGAGTCTTTCCTGGGGCATTTATTTTTATTAGAGTCCATTTATCAATTTTTACGATGATTAGAGATAATTGAAGAGAACCTGCGACAGTGGCAATTTATTAGCATGGGGGTGGGGGGTTCAGACACAGGCTAGTTTTGGCAGCGCTACCCTACAGAGGCTCTGGCTGCAAACTTCCCAGCTCAGAGGCGGTGGCTGGAGCTCTGGGAGGTGGTCGGGGCTGGGGCGCCGGGCTGCTGCACGTCAATCAGCATCCAGAAACAGCTCGCAAGCGCTGTGATGACGCCGCATGCATAAAAAGTGTTCCCAAGCCGAACCTATTGTCATCCTGGGGGCAGAAGGGAGTGACAAGACGCGCACGCAGCGCGGACTGGTAGCGCGGCATAATAAAGCGTGTTTTGCACCATGTGTGCCACAGATTTCTCGGGGTTTCACGCAGGTTTTTCCAAGTTCCACACCCCTCTTCCCCTACACGCCCCCCCAGCCCCCCGCCCTTCACGGCCACCCAGCCCCAGCTGTGCATAGGCCTTTGACTCCATCTGTCCTTCCATGGGGACGAGCCTCTCTCGCCAAATGGAGAACACAAGTTTGGCTCGCCAAAGTGATAGACCCCCGCCCTCTCCAGCCCGGGCCAAGCTTCAGCTGCAGAAGGGACCGTCCAGGGGGTGGAGGGGGAAGGTCGGGGAGGGGCTGCACCTCTTACCTTCCCCACCCCCCGCCACTTTGCACGCCCAGCCTAGACCGACGCCCCGCCTGCGCGACCCCCACGCCCACCCGGGTCTCCATCCCCGGCGCTTCCTCTTCTGCTCCCTTCTCGTTCCCTGGCACAGCCGCGAACGCGCCCTGCTGCAGAGCGGCGACTCGCAGGTGGGAGTTTGCCCTCGTGTGCGCCGCGTCACGCGGCGGGGAGGGCAGGGGAGGGGCGGGCAGGGCCCGCGGCCGCGGCCGGGTGGCTGGGGAGGCCGCGCCACCTCCCGCGCGGGAGCGGCGCACCCGGAGCTGCAGGCAGCCCCGCCGCCCGGCCACCCTCTCTCCCCTCCTGCTCCCACCTTCCCTCCGGCCGGGCGCACGCACTCCCCGCCCCCCCGCCCTTACTCCACCCCCTTCCCCGGCCCGACCCCGGTGCTCTCCTGGTGTGTGCGCGCGCCTGAAATAATTGCATCCTTTTTGGCCAAAGAAATAATGCACCTGACTTTACCAGGGGGAAACAACCAGCCGAGCAGAACAAGGAACAGATGTAAAAGGAATAAAAGGAGAGAGAAAAAGAGATGAGACCCGTTTAGAGAAGCCCCGGGGCTGAAGAGGGGCTGCTGCGGCGGAGGCTGCGAGAGCGCCGCGGTCTGCAGCAGCTCCGGGCGGAGACGCGCTCACCAGTTGCAGATGTAACCTCGGGAACTCCTCGGTCTGTTGGCGTGTTTGCCAAACAAAGTCCTTTCTTCTTTGGCTCCGACGCAGAAGACACTCGGGATTGTCTGCCACCCCTCCACGAGCTGGCACGGACCCGGGAGCCTTCCTAGGAGCTGGCGGAGCGAGAGCCCTTCTGGGCGCAGGATGGGCGGCCAGGGTCTGCAGCCGGGGACGCCCGCGGGGAAGCGCCCTGTGCGCCACGGGACAGGGTCCCCCGGCGGCGGCGCCCGGGCGCAGCGCCGGCTGCTCGCGCTCTTCGTGCACGCGTGGCTGTGGGCGGCCTCGGGCTGCTCCGCGCAGGTGTTCAACCTCAGCCTCTCCGTGGACGAGGGGCTTCCCCCGGACACCCTCGTCGGCGACATCCGCGCTGGGCTGCCGGCCGCGCAGCAGCAGGAGGGGGGCGGCTTCTTTCTGTCCGAGGACTCCGACGACTCCCCGCTGCTGGACGACTTCCACGTGCACCCGGACACCGGCGTCATCCGCACCGCCCGGCCCCTGGACCGCGAGCGGCGGGACCACTACAGCTTCGTGGCCGCCACGCTGCTGGGCGCCGTGGTGCAGGTGGACATCCGCGTCAACGACGTGAACGACCACTCGCCGCGCTTCCCCAGCGACTCCCTGCGCCTCGACGTGTCCGAGCTCAGCCCGCCGGGCACCGCCTTCCGCCTGCCAGGGGCGCGGGACCCCGACGCCGGGCTGTTCGGCACGCAGGGCTACACGCTGGTGCACGCGCCCCGCCTGCCCGAGGACCCCGCGGGACCCCTCTTCCAGCTGCGCTACGGGGCTCGGGGGTCGCCGCCGGCGTCGCTGTCCTCGTCGCCCCTGGAGCCCCTAGACTTGGTGCTGCTGCGGCGCTTGGACCGGGAGGTGACAGCGACGCACGAGCTGCAGATCGAGGCGTGGGACGGCGGCCGCCCGCGGCGCACGGGCCACCTGCGCGTGGAGCTGCGCGTGCTGGACGAGAACGACAACCCGCCGGTCTTTGAGCGGAGCGAGTACCGCGCGGCCGTGCGCGAGGACGCGCCCCCGGGCGCCCCGGTCTGCCGCGTGCGCGCCACCGACCCGGACCTGGGGCCCAACGGCCTCGTGCGCTACAGCCTGCGCGCCCGCCAGGCGCCCGGGCCGGGGGGCAGCGGTGGCCCCCGGGGCGACGCGGCCTACTTCGCGGTGGAGGAGCTGAGCGGCGTGGTGAGCGTGCGGCGGCCGCTGGACCGCGAGGCGCAGGCCTGGCACCAGCTGGTGGTGGAGGCCCGCGACGCCGGCGCGGAGCCCGAGGTGGCCACCGTGCGCGTGTCCATCGCCGTGCTGGACGTGAACGACAACCCGCCCGCCATTCACCTGCTCTTCCTCACCGAGGGAGGCGCTGCCCGCGTGTCGGAGGGCGCCCGGCCGGGAGACTACGTGGCTCGAGTCTCGGTGTCCGACGTGGACGGCGGTCCAGATGGACGAGGAGAGGCCGCGGGCGAACTGGGGGTGGGTCTGGGAGGCGGGAGCGTCTCGCTGTCCTTGGACGGCGGGGAGGGAGCCTTTGCCTTGCGAACTGGAGGCTCCGCGGGGGTATTTTTCCTTTGCGTGCAGGGGCCGCTGGACAGGGAGAGCCGAGACCTGTACGCTTTGCGGCTGGTGGCCACGGATGCGGGTTCCCCGCCGCTGAGTACGGAGGAGACTCTGCTGCTCAGGGTGGCCGACCTCAACGACCAGCCCCCTCTGTTCAGCCAGGAGCATTACCGGGCCTCGGTGTCTGAGGCTGCGGCCCCTGGCACCCCGGTGGTGTGGGTCAGCGCCTCCGATGCCGACGAGGCTGGCACCGACAATGCTCGTCTGCGCTACGCGCTGGTGCACCTCGAGGCCGGCTGCCACCCGGAGGACAAGGGCCCCGTGACGGAGTGTGAACCTTCATTCACTGTGGATCCTGAGAGTGGTGTCATCAGCACCTCCAGGAGGCTGGACCGGGAGGTCCAGGAGGCAGTAGAGCTGAGGGTGGTGGCCCAAGACCTCGGGGAGCCCCCGCTCTCCGCCACCTGCCTGGTGAGCATCGCTGTGGCCGACGTGAACGACAACGAGCCTGTCTTCCTGAGGCAGGTGTACAATGCCAGCCTGCTGGAGCATACCCCGGCTGGCCACTGTTTCCTGCAGGTGAGTCGCAAGGCCTGTGGTGGACCACAAGGCCTGGGAAGGGAAGATGAGGTTGTGGTTCTGTCCAGGGAAAGAGAACAGTGACCAGTGGCGGGGATGGTTGCACTGAAGAGGGGGGGCTCTGTTCCTCCAGTACAGCAAGGTGAAAGGGTGCTCTCAGGTCACCTAACCTTGCTGCGAGGGGCTTGGCCTCAGCGATCTCTAAGGTCCTTGCAACTTCTCATGATGTTTGGATTTGGACTTTGGTGCTGGCTGGGTGTCCTTTGTGCTGGGCAAGTGAACACCCAGTCAGCTGGTGGGGCTGGGGGAGGGAACCACAAATCTTTGCCAAACACCATGTGAATAGTTTGCATATCATCAGTGGGCATCATAGTAGAGATGTCCCCTGTGGCATCCCAGGAAAATGAAGTGGCCTCACAAGCGAGTTTTTCAAATGCACAGGTGTGTATGCCTTTACACACTGGAGTATACTGAGGAACCATATCCAGGGACTTATGTATTTTACCCCCTCCTTCAGAAGCAGGAAGGCTGGCTGAGGACACCCAGTCACTTTTATTAGTTGTGGGCTGAGCCCCCACGGTGCCCTCCACACTCAGAGGGGTAGAGGGGGCACCATCACCCTCTATGAAAGGAAGCTTTCTTCCCTGCTTTGCTTTGTAGAGTTTTGATGTCTCCTTCACTCTCAGAACATTGTGTTTTGAGCCTTTCTAGCACCTCTCTACTATTGCTTCTGATTTCCTGCCATCTGAAGTCAGTTGGCAAAGTGGGTTTCCAGGGTATATTTATTTACTCCAAGATAGCTTGAGTAAATATATAGAGCTACATCATTCAGATGGATGGGTGAAGCTCTAAAGCTTTGGGGGTGTCTTAAGTCCTCTTGCGCTCATTTCCTGGCTCTTAGTGGGGTGAGGCTTTAGCTCTTATAGATCACATTTCAAATAATAACTGTTAGATAAGTAAGATATTCCATATTGTAAAAGTGAGTTTCAAGACAGCTTCTGCCTTTTTAATCCTTTGACTCTGTGAGCAGGAGCAATCTGTCATATTCACATGCATAATGGGCAACTCTTTGAGTTACCAGGTCATGAAGAGAAGGCTGGAAGGTCAGTTAATGTTTGCAGCTAAAACCAGCAAAGCCATAATGCCAGTAACACAGAGGAAGGCTCTTTATATCTCAAGTAGAGTTTAATAGGATGCAGGTTGACTGGTCCTCCTTCATTTGAGAGGGGGCCAGGCTTGGGAGTGACTTAGCTCAGGTCTGCCAACGTCCCATTGGCCAGCGTTCAGCTACATGGCCCCAGGTGTCCTCTATGGAGACTGAGAAGTATGGAGCTGGAGGAAGCCAGTGAGCGCTGGTGGATTCTGCCATAGTTTCCTGTAGGGTGAATGGTTTTCAGGCTGTTCTGCCCTCCCACCATTAGGATTGCCCTGCCTGATAGGGCACCTGCAGTTGTTACATTGCTGTAAGCTGTGTTGTTTACTTTTGTGGGCCATGGCTCAGTATTGAGATATTCTGGGAGAGAGGCAGGAGAGAGGCAGGCGAGGGAAAAGGGGAGAAAGAAGGCCAGAGAACTCAGAATGAAGACTTGCCAGGGGCTTGGAGGCCTCCCGGCCTCCTGGCCCCTGGCACCCCTGCCTGCCATGTACCTGGTTGCTGCACTACACTTAAAAGCTCAATAAACGCCTGAGAAAGCCACCCAGGGCCCAAGGACTCTCCTTTACCCTGTCTGGTCTGCTCAAATCATAGAAAACCTGCCCTGTGCCATCTTGCCCCAACAATTCCTGAAAAAGAAATCGTAAGTGAGAGGCTGAACTTGATGATTTCCAAAATTCCTTCCACCTGGAAGAGCCCAGTCTTGGTAGGAAATAGTGCAACTTGGCTGTGTTTGAAGGAAAATAACTGGGGTGGATTAATTGTGATTCTTTTGATAGAACCTGCCTTAAGGAGTTGTTTCTAATATTGGGAGAGGATTCTGCCAGAGGTGCGAGTTTATCCCGCTATTATGAATCGGTACGTGGTGACTCCATTATGATGGACTGAACTTGGCTGAAGCATAAGACTGCCTCTCCAAAGGCAGAAAGCCTTTACAAGTTGCCAAGTCCTGCTGCAGCTAGAATTAAATCATGCTGATTAGGATTTCTGCAAATTCCAGCCATCTAGCCACTCAAGATTGCAGAAACCCTCTTAGACTTGGGGGTCTCCTGTGAACTTGCTGTGTTCTCTAACCTCTCGGTCTCCTGCCTTCCAGGGAAGCCTCACAGGGTATTTTCCAGCCTTGTCCTATCGCTGCACTTTCTTAGTCTTTCTCTGTACCATGTTGTATAGCTAGTCTCCTCATCTAGCCCCTGGGACTCATGGCCTCTCCTTTCTTTGAGGATTTGATTGCATTATATCATGGCTTTATAACTATCCCTTCTTTTTGTGTTCTCTGCCAGGTTTCCCCCTTTAGATCTCATATCTGCTCCACTCTCCTTCATCAGATTCAAACAAAAACAAAATGAGAATCAGGGGGAAAAAAATGCCAAAGTTCTTTCCTACATTCCCTGCAGGGGTATTTAAATCAGAATATAAGAACCTGAGTAACTGCCTGAGCTAAGTGCCCTCTAGCCTCTACAGGGCATTTCCAACCCTTGGGTGCTCACCTGGATTTATGCACCATAGTTCCTGTGTCCCCATATGGAGAGCCCCGTCTTAAGAATCAACTCTCAGGCGCCCTCTCAGCTCTTCTGTCAGCGCAGCTTCATGGTCAAGGCAGAGAGGGGTGGCTGCTCTGCAGGCGCGCAGGCTGCCCACAAGGTTCTAATGTTGGGCTTGACATAGTCTCTTTTCCCAAAAATAGTCAAAAGGGCTAATGTAACCGCTGGGCCAGACCTTTACTCAGCACCAGCACCCCCCACCCCCACCTCCTACCCCCTCCAGTGACATGGCGGCCCTTATAGCCCTTGCCGTGTAAGGGGTCTAGAGACACAGAGCTCTGTGAGGCGCACAGTTGCCTCCACAGGCCCCCAGTGCCTTGTTTGCTCACTTGCTCGCTTGCTCATTCATTTATTTAATGGACTAAACACTGGGCAGGCAACGCCGCCTGTCCCAGGAGCACCTGTCCCGCCGCCGGACCTGGTCTTGGTGCTGGCGTGCAGCGGTGACAACAGGGACAAGGTCCCTCCATCCCCAGTGGTCCCGGTGCTGTCCCCTCCCTCCGTCCTCTCTGCCCTCGAGGGGAGGCCACATGCCCTGCCGCCCCTCGCCCACCATCGCTCCTGAGCCCCCCACTCTGACCTCAGCCCGCACTCCTCTAAATAAATCCTGCCTCCCAGGCAGCTGTGCTCTTTCATTTCAGCCCCCGGGGGCTTTTGCAGCCATCACACCCTCGTCCTCTCTACAGCGTTTGGACTCTTGCCCACTGCCTCTTTCTGGAGCGCCTCCTCCTCACCTCCATTTGCCGCACTGCGTTTTCCCTTCTTGGCAGCTCCCCGTCCCTCTCGCGCCATCCCCAGCGCCTGTCTTCCCTCACTTCCCTCCTTCCCAGACTGCCTTCTTCGATTTCCAGAACATCAGCATTGGCATCTCCGGGGGCAGCCTCCTTTAGATGCTCCAGCTAACATCTCTGTCCCTTGGGGGGGGGGTGTGCGTCTTCCTGGATGTGTTTTGGGCACCTCAAAGCCAGTGATTCTGCATCCAAGTCCTGCCCCTTCTACCTTTCTCACTTTCTTCCCAACTTACATGAATCAGCTCCTTTTGGAAACTTTCCTGTTTCTGTTAGCACGTCCTTCCCACGCGTGTGTCTGTGAGTTTGGGGTGTGTCTGTGAGTGTGGGTTCACTGCTGGTTGGTCTCGTGGCATTTGTACTGCTGAGAACTACGAGGCTGACAAAGTCACGTCTCGTATCAATCGGTTGGGTGAAAAGCAGATTCCAAACTGGGGCGAGCACCTGTGCTTTTTGCTGGTTGTCAGTGTGTGAGTGACTTTGAGGCGCCTGCCTGGGAGGGGTGCAGGGCCTGGACATTCAAGGTGGCGCCTGCCATCTGGGCAGACACGAGAGAAGGAAAGCCTGACGGCTGCTGTGCTCCGGGCACGAGAAAGGACCAACCTACATCTTGTTGCAGATTCATTTGATCTTGGTGGAATTCCTTCCAGTGACTAACCCCGAGACGTGAGTGAAGTCTTTCAAAATGTGTTAGCGTTGATCTGTACAGTGGACGTAAAGCTGGAGGACCCCACAGTGGTGTGATGTAAGCAAGGATTACTCGTTGGTGCTAGTCAAAGTGTTAGTCAAAGAGCCACTCTCCCTCCAGGCCTGAATGCTTGGGGAAGGCGGACACCAGCCGGTGAAGCTGAGGGGGGCTTTCTTGGAAGATGTCAAGGGCTTTTCTCCACGAAGCTCTCTTCACGGCAGCTTCAGAAGTCAGAGACTTCAAAAGGTTTTAGGAAACCTCAGACTGCTCTGTCCCTTTGCCTGGACCACAACGCCTTCAGATTCCTGCCACTTATCCCTTCATTTGTACCCGTTGGCATCACCCTAGTTCTGTCCAGCGTAGCTTCTTGTTTTCCCTTCCCTTTTCTTCAAACTGCAGAGACTGGAGGCACATCTCAAATGCTCCCTCCTCCCACCAGATGCGTCTTCTCCTGCCCACCCTCTCCCCAGTGTTGCTGACGCAATTAGTAAAACAAAGTATTGCGAGTACGAAGGAGCGCCTTCCCAGCCTCTTCAGAACCGGCCTCCCGGGACATGTCACTCTGGCATGTGGATCATTTCCAGCAGAGGTCAGTTGAGGCGCAACAGGCTCACAAGGAACTGTTTCTACTCCCTTAACTACCCAGAGGAATAAACATGGGTGCTGTGGCCCAGGATTAGTGTTTACCAGAAATAACTTTTCTCTAGGAAAAACCTATCCTTATGGCAGGGCCAACATCTAATTACATCGAATGATCACCTGTTCCACATCACCTGTGATCCCGCCCACCCCCCCAGCTTAATATACATCCCTCAGCTTAATATACA